AGCTATTTAGCTGTAAAAATTCTGTTATAGCTCCTTAAGCTATATCTTATTCTTAATTCTAAATCTAATCCTATCTGTCTGCTCATCTATCTAGTCTGACTAATCAATTATCAATCTATAATCTTATCTATTTATTATACTCTAATATTATATAGCTCTAGTTATTATAGATTGATTTAAAATATCTATTATTCTATAATTCTTATTTCTATTATAGAATCTAAAAGAATTCTTTATCTATACATTAAAATATCTAACTGAATAATTCAATTATTATTAATAAGTTTATAAATATATTAATAATATTACTATTAAATAATAAAAGAAACTATATTAAGCTAAACTTAAGCTTAAAATTATATAGCTTAAAAATTAATATCTTAATAAATTCTTAATCTATAAAAAGAGATATCTATCTATAAATAAATAATTTATAACTATTAAAAGAATAGTTATAAGAAATTTAATAATAATATTTATAAATAATAAAAAATAGAGATTTAATATTATAAAAAAAAAAATAAGCTTTAATTTTATTTATTTTAATTATTAATATCTCTATATTTATTTTAAATCTTATTTTATTAAATTCTATTAAAAACTTTAAAGCTATTACTATAAAAATATTTATATTAATTAATCTTTTATTTATTATCTCTATTAAATCTTCTGAATGCCTGTCTGATCCTAATAAATTTAAAGAAGAATAAAGAGATCTCTGTTAATTTATATTATAAATCAAAGAAAAGATGATAATTAATTTTAATTAATATTTAATTCTATAAGTCTAAATAATCTATATTATAAACTATCTATTTAAAACTCTATATACTCAAATTTTACTTTATATTTAAAATAGAATTTATTAATTATTTAATTATTAAAATATCTTATATATTCTTAAATATTTATTTAGAGATCTAAATTTAATTTATATTATTTATAAAGAATTATTCTATCTCTATTAAATAAATAAAGAATTTATTATATTCTTTATTAAGTTTTAGATTTTAATATTAGATATTAAGATATAGAAAGATTTATTAATTATTTTATTAAAATAAGCTATTAATTATAAACTTAAAGATATATTATTTTATAATTCTCTACTATTCTATAAATATTATTAATTTACTATCTTTCTATAAGAATTAAAGAATTATTAGATTTAGTATAAGAATAATTTATATATTTAGAATTATTAAATCTTTTTTTAACCTATTTTAGCCTATTTTACTTCTATTATTTTATTAATTATTTAAGAAGTTACTTTAAAAGTTAAAATATAAAATAAAATTATAAAAAGAAAATTTATTCTAATTTTAAAATCTATAGATCTATTTAAAATCTTTAGCTAGCAGATATATAATAAATATTTTTATTATAATACTAAGAATCATCTAGTTAGAAGCTATTCTCTATCTAATAATCACTCTATCTACTTATAGAGTGTCTATGTTAGCTCTTCAATTAAATCAAAAGATTCTCAGTCCTTATTCTGCTCAGTCTTACTTAATAAATCAATAAATAGTATATATCTAGCCTAAATCATAATTAAATGCTCTATACACACATGATTAAGATCTTTATTACTATTTTAAATGGAATCTCTATTAAAAAGAAATCTAATATTCTTAATTAATAATTTTATCTATTATACTATATTAAAAGGAAAAGAATATCTTAATCTATATAATAATAGATTTTAATATTAAAAAAAAGTATTTTATAAATAAAGAATAGATCTTTAATTATAGTTTATAATTATTATCTCTAAAATAACCCATTTAATTAAAGATATTTAATAATTAGAAAGCTAAAATTAATCTAATTATTCATTATATTAATATATATTTAAAAATCTATAATCACTTTAAATAGAAAGTATTATTCTTAGTTATTTAGCTTATCTATTATTTAATCATTCTAGGATTACTTTAACTAAAGAAATATAATCTTTAGATAAGATAAGCTATTTATAATCTAGACTTTAATAATAACTATTACTAGAAATACTATAATATTCTTATCTATTTAATTTATATTAAAACATTATATAATATACTAAAAAAGATCTATTTAAATTAAATATTTAATTGCTTTAAAGTCTTTAAGAAATAAGATATTATTATTATAAGCTTAAAAGTTTATATTATTTATTATTAAAAAGAATATAGAATCTTCTTTTTAATTCTAAATTAAATTAATATTATTTTAAGTTAGATTAACTTTATTCTAGATTATTTATTAGAAATTATAAATTTAGTTATTAAACTATCTAAGGAATTCTAAAACTATTTAGATATTTTCTCTTTTAAGAAAGCTGAATACTTATTATTTTATTATCTTTATAATTATAATATTTAGTTAATTAAAGAGACTAATCTACTATTTAATCTTTTATATTTTATATTTTAAGAAGAATTTATTATTTTAAAAGAGTAAATTATAAAGAATTTAAAAAAAGGGTTTATCTATTTTAATTTATTCTCTACTGTATTTTCTATTTTATTTATTAAAAAGTTTAAAGAAGGCTTATATTTCTATATAGATTATTAAGCTCTGAATATAATAACAATAAAGAATTATTATTTATTATCTTTAATTAAAGAGATATTGAATAATCTTAATAGAATAAAATATTTTATAAAAATTAATATTATCTTTATATTTAATAAAGTAAGAATATAAGAAAGCTAAAAATGATTGATAGTTTTTTATATTAGACTTAATCTATTCAAATTACTAATGATGTTCTTTAATATAATGAAAGTCTCTGCCATATTTTAATGATTTATTAATAATATATTAAAAGAATATCTAGATCTATTCTATATTACTTATTTAGATGATATTTTAATATATAATAGAATAAAAAAAGAATATATATAATATATCTATCTAATCTTAAAAAAGTTAAAAAGAGCTAAATTCTATATTAAATTATTAAAATATAAGTTCACTGTCTCTAAGATTAAATTCTTAGAAATCATAGTTAGCTATAATAGCCTATGGATAGATTCTAATAAAATTAAAATTATTATTAACTGAAAGACCTTGATCTATATAATTAATATATAATTATTTTTAGGATTTACTAGATTTTATAAATATTTTATCTAAGATTTTTTGAAATTTACTATACTGATAATTAATCTAATAAAAAAAAGATTAATTTTATTTAAAATACTATCTACTAAATAGTATTTAAGATTCTAAAAACAGCTTTTATTATTATTTTTATTCTATAATTCTTTAACTAGAAGAAGAAGATTATTTTAAAAATAGATATATCTAACTATATCTCTATCAAAATTCTATTTTAATATAATAAGAAGGGCATACTACACCCTATTATATTCTTTTTAAAGAAACATACACTAATAGAGTATAATTATAAAATTTATAATAAAGAATTAATAGTTATTATCTACTATTTTAAAGAATAACATTCTAAACTTAAAGATATTTAATCATTAATAAAGATTATTACTAATTATTAAAATCTAGAATATTTTATAATAATTAAACTCTTAAACTATCACTAAGCCTATTAATCTAAATTTCTATTCTAATTTAACTTTAAGATTGTATACTATTTTAATAAATAAAGAATTAAGCCTAATATTTTAATCTAAAGATTATAAAATCTTCTAAAAAAGAAAGATGAACGATTATTATATCAAAACTAAATTATATTAAAAAAGAAAAATCTAATTATAATAAAAAAAGATGAATTATCTAATCTTATTAAACTAGCTAAATTTAATATTATATCCAGTTTAATATAAATATTAGCTTTCATTAGCTAAAAAAGAGTTAGATTCAAGCTTTCAACTATTATTGAATTATCTACTAATTTTAAAGATCTATTTGATATTATATATCCCTAAGACAAAAATATATAGTTAATATTTAAGATATTATAAAAAAAAACTCTATAATATCTAAAAATAATCTTAATAAACTATAAAAAAAAAAATAACTATCTATTATACTAGAACTATCTCTATATATTTAATAATAATAATCTAAAAGTTAAACTATTATAACTCTATCATAATAAATCTATTTCTAGATACTCTAAATATTTTAAGACTTATAAACTTCTATTCTAAAAGTATTACTGACTTAGAATGTATTAATATATAGCTTAATAGATTAAGAACTGTTATATCTATTATTATATTATCTTATCTTATAAAGTCTATCAAAAAATTCTCTACCTACTACCTATCTTTAAATAAGCTTAACAAGATATATTAATAGATTTCATCATTTATCTATCTACTAGTCTAAGATTTAATATAATATTAATAATGATTGATTATCTAATTAAAATAAGACATTTTATTTTCTATAAGGGAATTTATAATGCTAAAAAAACTATTTATTTATATATCTATTATATTTAGAAATTATATAGAATTTTAAAAACTATTATATCTGATTAAAGAGCTATATTTATTAATAAATTTTAAAAATATTTAATCTACTATTTAAGAATTATATCTCTACTATCTATAGTCTATCATTTTAAGACTGATAGTTAGACTGAATATATTAATATAATCTTAGAGCAGTATTTATATATATATATATTTTATCTATAAAATAATTGGATCAACTAGCTTTTCCTAGCTGAATTTATATCTAACTCAATCTATTTAAAAACTATAAAGATATCTCTATTTTATACTAATTATAGATTTTATCTAATTATAAGATTCAAAGCTATTCTAATCTCTAATAAATCTGTTAGCTATAATACTAAAGAGTTCGCTTATTATATAGAAAGGATTATTGACTTTATTTGAATTGAAATACTGTCTATATAAGCCTATTATAAGACCGCTATAAATAGATATTACTAATCTATTTATTAATATTAAATAAGTTAGAAGATCTAATTAGATATTAGAAATATCTAAACTTTCTAACTATAGAAAAAGCTAGATTAAAGAAATATAAAATCTCTTATAATTATTAAAGCTATTAATCTAAATATATACTAACTAGATTTATTTATAAATTTAAAAATATATTTAATATTCAATATTAATTTATTTTATTCTATTAAGAAGAACTCTATCTTTAAATAATAATAGAAACTGTTCTTATCTATCAAAGCTGATAGTATAACTGAATGAAAAATAGAAGATATTTTGGACTCCTATTAAGAAAAATAAAACTATGAATATCCTTATCTAAAGTATACTATTAAATAGAATAGCTATAATAAATCAACTAAAGAGTCTACTAAGTACCTAGAAAACACATAGAAAATTATTATTAACTTCTATTAATAATATCTTTAGAAATCTAGATCTAATCTCAATAAAGCTTAGTTTTAAGAGAAAAAATATTATTATAATATTAGCTCACCTATCTAATCTGCTAATCTATTTCTCTGGTCTAATCAAATATAACTATAGTTACATTTTAGTACAACTTCAATAAAAGCTATCTAGCTATAAGAATCTTATTGTAGCTTTTTGAGCTATATCTTATCCTTAATTCCGAACCCAACCCTATCTATCTGTCCGTCCGTCTGGTCTGACCAGTCAATCGTTAATCCACGATCCCATCCGCCTGCCGCACCCTGACAGAATATCTATTCTTTAATGATACTGAGTATTAGAATTATATTATTATTTATTATAATTAATAGTCTTATTAAAGTAATATTTTTTTAATATAATAATTAATTCTATTTAATAATATTTATTTTATATTATTTTTTAGAATTAAAATAATAATTCTTTTATTATATATTAAAATCTATTCTAATTATTATTAACTATATTAAGAAGTAATATAATATATTAAATTATATAGAGATTTCTTAAAGATAATTAATAATAAAGTATAAAGATTATTAAAGATTAAAAATAAAAATAAAATATAATTAAAATAAAAATAATGTTTTAAAGTATTATAATATTTTAAATAAAATTATTTTATTAATCTTTATAGTATAATTAATAATAATAATTATAATAATTTATATTAAAGAACTATACTAAGATAAACTAGATATATAAAAATAAATATATTTATATAGATATTATTTCTATATTATCTTTATAATCTATTTATATATAGATTATATATTTAATTATTTTTTTATCTTTTTTATATTTCTTTTATACTCTTATTATATACTTAAATATAGATATTTATATAATATATAATCTTATATAAGTAATAAACAGACTATATACAGTTATAATAACTAGTTAGCTATAGTATTAGCTGCTTTAACAGATACTTGTCCTAAAGTGGCTTAAGACATCCTAATCTGTCCTTAGCCTTGCATATGTTGGTTTCGTAACACAAACCGAACCGACCCACTTTTGGGTTTGGTTCAGAAACTCAGGACCAGAACCGAACCAAATGACAGCCTAGATATAATCTATTATATTAATTATTTTCTATTATAATCTTTATAGTTATATAGAGATCTATAATAAAGCTAGTCTTATTAAAGTTATAAATATCTTTTAATAAATTGATATATTTATATCTTACTAATCTATTTAGAATTATATTGTAAGAAAAAAAGATTAGCTATATCTTATATAAAAAAATGTTAAAAAAATAATTTATATTTATCTAAATCTAATATTTATTTGATAAATGATTTCTTTTTAAATTTAATTAATTTATAATTATTAGTATATTTTATAGCTTTGAATTATATTTTTTTTAATCAGTTTTAAAAAGTTGTATAAGGAATAATATAGATCTTTGTAGCTTTATAAATACTTAAAATATTTTTATTTTTTAAATTAGAAATAGTTAATTGAACCTTTTTCTCTATTTTAATTGATTTTGAAAGATCTTATTTATAAATTGGTGGTATGGTAATGTATTGAAATTGTAAAATCAATATAGAACGTGTTTTTGGGCGGAAGTGGGCGGGTGGCTGTTGTGGGCGGGTGGCTGTTAGGTTACGTTAACGGAACGTATTCCACGGGCATTTGGAACACCTGTGTAATCCATATAAAATGGCCTTTTTTAAAATCTTAATATCTCAACAAAATTATATGAGAATTATAGCTTAAAATTCAGTATATTATTTATATAATAGTAAAAAAATATATGATTAAATAATTTTTTAAATAACTAAGTAGATATCAAAATTACATTAAATTATATAAAATACCAAAAATTACGTTATATTTTAGGTATTATTTCTTGGTTTTAAATTATTTTCTTATATTTTTGAATATATTATTAATAAATACATTTTATTTAACATAATAATTTTTAAACAATAATGTTATTATTAATATATATTTCTTTTTATTAAATTATTTTAAAATTACTCTGATTTAGGCTGTCATTTGGTTCGGTTCGGACCGAACCAAACCCGAACTGAAACCCGAATGGTCCGGTTCTAGTCCTATATACAGTGAACCGAAGTGGTTCAATTCACTAAATCCAGAACCATTGTAACACGGTGTCTGGATAGACTAGATGTGGGTGAGTTGAAGCTTCGCCAGTTGATATTAATGCTAAAGAGCAAGGCTACTAGGAGGAAGTTATCCGTTTAGGTTATATAGTTAGAGAAGGCTTTGAGCCAAAGTCTATTTGAAGCCGAGTAGGCTTATATTGAAAGTTATGTCAAAGATTGTATAAAAGATATTGCTTGGTTTTCTCCCTTCAGATGGGAAACTAAGCTTATATGTCTGAGTCTATATCTCAGGTTATTGATATCTAATCTAACTAGATAAAGTTATATATAGCGAGGTGAGGGGTACTGGCATCATGCCTGGAGTCTTATGGTATCAATTTTGATATATCACAATTGACCCCGGGGTATCCCTGAGCCCCCCGGTCCTGCCGGATTAGGCTTGAACATGCTCCCTGGGTCTATCCCTATTACAAATATTTAAAACTAATTAGAGATAATAATATAGAAGATTAAAAGCTTAAACCTCTAATAAACCTTTAGAAGTCTTAATGATATATAATCTTTATAGCTTATAGCTGGGTAAGATTGTAAAACTTGAATAAATAAATAAATATATCAATACCTTGCACTGAAAATTCCGGGGAGGGGCGGGGGTCGGGAGTCTCTACACAACCTGACTACCATTTTTTCACAATTACTACCAGTCTAAATACTCGTTGTATAAATCTATTCTAATTATGCTTGATCGTTTTGGAGTCTTCAACTCTCATCTAGTCAATACACCACCTCTGTCTTCGTAGCTTCTTCGCAAGAGCTGGCAAGTTCCATTCTGCAACATAAAACCCATGGTTGCCGAGATAATCTACCATATGTGCGCATCACAAGAGGTCGGTCACCTCCCAACTTGAGCTTGTGTATTACCATGTAATATGTAGTGCCAGAGGCATTGTCACTAGGTATCAAAGAATGATCGATGAGTGATCAACCCTTCAACCATTCAACCCTCCGTTGAATCAGCCTTTTCCCCTTCCTTTTGATTCTTGGCCAACTTTCGTCTTCGATGATCTTTGAGTAGAAATATAACGGCGAGAACAGTGCCGAATGCTGTCAACCCGACAGAAAACCAGAGAGTACCCCGGTAACCATTAAGCAAGTCTGCCTCAGTGTGTCCGCCATTGTTGATCTGAAGTTCAATTGTACCAGCGAAACCAAGACCTAGCGATATACTGTAGACAACAATAGTCATGATCACACTGGATCCCATGCCCTGGTACTGTCGAGGCACTGCGTTCGAGAAGATGATCGTGGCAGCAGGCAACGATGAATCCATTGCAAAGGTGGCGATGATGGTGGCGAAAAAGAAGTAGGTCCAGTACGTCGTGTGTATGGGTCGCAAGGCCATGAGAAGGGAAGTGAGGAAGTAGCAAAGCATTGCGAACAACATAATGGACGATGCTGGAACCTTGTTGATTATTTTGCCAACGACCAATGCTGTTGATATGCCGGTGACGAGGATAGGAGAAAGCCATGCAGCCAGTTGAATGGGAGTTTGGCCACCGATATCGAGGCATATTCGGACGACGTAGAAAAGCTAGACACATCGTTAGTATGACATAATTTCGGGACAAAGATTAGTACTTACCCAGATGCCAAATGTAGACCAGCCCGCTGCTGTACAACCGAAGACGAAGGCGATGTCGGAAGTGAAGACTGCGACAGGTAGGATTGGATAGCGAGCTAGGCGAAGTTCGATGTAAAAGAACGCCGCCAGGAACACTAAACTGAGGATCAGGCATACATAGACGTAAGGTTCGTCCCACGTAGTGACCAGACTCTGATTCCAGGCGAAGTTGAACAGAACCAGAGCTGTCACACCGCTTGCACCTCCCAGGAGATCAAGGCGGTCCAAAGTTTCGCGAATAGTTCGTCGCTGTTTTTGCTCACCCTCGACAGGCATGTTTGGAATTGCAACGATAGCGAGGACGAAAAGAAAGG